CAATGGTTTATGAAATCCATCTATGCTTGGGATTTGCTATTCTGGTGTTTTGTCTCTTTTACTCACTCCTAGGTGACACTATTTCAATTCTCCTCCTTGTGGCACCCAAGCACATCTTAAAGTCATTCCTGTTTAGCATTATAAAATAAGTTAGAAAATTCTGAGCTGTTTCTGTTTGAGTCTTCACTTCCATGATCACCTTCAAAGTAGATCTTATTCCCTACATCCTTTTTGATTGTGATACTGATGGTTTTTCAGTTTATTCCAGGGCATAATTTTTTGTCAGGTACTTATAGATATCACACATCTTTTATTATTATTTTTTCTATGCAAAACTTATCAATTAGGTTTGAGTATCCTTCCCCTTTATTTTGCTCATTAATTTTTTTTTTTTTCCTGGTTCTTGTTGAAATTCATTGTTTCAAACTTTTCATGCTAACAAGATCACAGAGTGGTTACAAGCTCTGGACCCAGATTTCAGAGTCTGGGTATGAATTCTGGCTTTGCCACTGGCTAGCTGTGTGACCTCGTGTAAGCTACTTAACTTTTCTGGGCCTCAGGTATAAAATGAAGATAATAGATCCTAACTTTAGAGTTGTGAGGATTAAATTAGTTAACCCATTTATGCCTAGTGTTCCATTACTGGAATGCTGAGTTTGTGGGGGTTATTTATATCCCACTGCTCAAGGTCATCGCCAATGTCTGATTTTTCACACAAGAAAATGTGCAACCTCCGGCATAAATGGGTTAATATGTGTAAGGCATATAGAACAGTGTCTGTCACTATATATGTAAATGCTAGTCATCATTACGCATTTTGTAGGTGGGTACGACCACACTGCTGGCTTCCAACTTTTCCCACAGGACCAACTGACAAATGAACTGAATAGTTGAGATTGACCACAGCTCTGTAATCAACATGGAAACTTGATGTGAGAACCAGTTGTATGTCTAACACTTCCAAATGAAGGCTGCTGTTTTCCCAAAGCTTAGCATAAAAATTTCATTGAATCACTGTAATTAGATGAAATGGTAGAAATATGTTTTGAGGTCTCTTAGAGTGTTCTAGACTAAGGATCTACACAAAAACTATATATAATACTAAAAAAGAAAAATTCAAATGACCCATAAACATCTAAAGCTATCTCCAACTTTTCTATTAATCAAAGTATTCACATTCAAACAATAAGAAGAAGATCAATTCCATGTATTACATTAAATATAATAAAATGAAAAGTCGGCCAAACGTGGTGGCAGGTGACTGTAATCCCAGCACTTTGGGAGGCAGAGGGAGGTGGATCACCTGAGATCAGGAGATCAAGACCAGCCTGGTCAACAGAGTGAAACCCATCTCTACTAAAAATACAAAAAAAAAAAAAAAATTAGCCAGGCATGGTGGCAGGCATCTGTAACCCCAGCTACTTGGGAGGCTAAGGCAAGAGAATCACTTGAACCCAGAAGGTGGAGTTTGCAGTGAGCCGAGATTGCACCACAGCACTCCAGCCTGGGCAACAGAGCAAGACTCTGTCTCAAAAAATAAAAATTAAAATGAAAAGGGGCAGGGCATGGTGGTACATACTTGTAGTTCCAGCTACTCAGGAGGCTGAGGTGGGAGGATCACCTGAGCCCAGGAGTTCGAGGCTGCAGTGAGCCATGATAGTGCCACTGAATTCCAGCCTGGGTGACAGAGTGAGACATTGCCACAAAATAATAATCATCATCATATAAACACCTGTGAAAAGAAGGGAAAACAATAATTAATTCATTAAATGAAAAGCAATGACGATAAGGGAGAAGATGTGATGTAGCTGTAACATTCATACACTGCTGGTGGATTTTAAATAGGGATAAACTTTTAAGGCAATATGTGTACAAAAAGCCAACTTTTTCATAGTCTTTGGATCAATAATTCCATATCTACGGATCTACTCTAAAGAAATAATGCAAAATTGGTGTGTTCGTTGCAAATATTTAATAACACTATGTGTAAAAATGAAGAATTTAAAACGACCTACTAGGCATCATGGGACTTACATTGTAAGACTAATGGGGCTTATTAAAGAAGTACTATTGGCTGAGCGCAGTGGCTCACACCTGTAATCCCAGCACTTTAGGAGGCTGAGGCAGGCAGATCACAAGGTCAGGAGTTTGAGACCAGCCTGGCCAGCATGACGAAACCTTGTCTCTACTAAAAATACAAAATTTAGCCGGGCGTGGTGGCAGGTGCCTGTAGTCCCAGCTACTCAAGAGGCTGAGGCAGGAGAATCACTTGAACCCGGGAGGTGGAGGTTACAGTGAGCTGAGGTCACACCACTGCACTCCAGCCTGGGCAACAGAGCAAGACTCCATCTCAAAAAAAAAAAAGTACTATTATGACCCTCTGATATTTGTTGAAGGAAAGAAATCTTAAATTCCATTAAAATGACATTTACTTAGTAAATTGCTTACGAAGGTATGCTTAAGTGAAAAAGTTAAAAAAGTGAAAAAAAGTCAGATACAAAAATTATATGATGCAAGTATATTTTTAAACACTTAGGAGAAACACGAAGAAAATATGATTTCTATGTTAACAGTGTTTGCTCTTTGGTTGTCAGGTTATAGGTAATTTTTTAAAATCTTGCTTTAAAAAATACTTTTTTGTATTTTCATATGTTCTAGGAAGAATAAATCCCCCTTTGCGATTTGATAGGAAGGAGGAGGAATTTGCCAGATGATGGTAGAATTTTTGAAATACAGAGAAGAATAAGCAGTGAAATTGACAACAGCCTAGGAGCCGAGTGAACCCATCTGCCACTGAAAACCAGGATAGTCTGAGATAGGGCACCTGACTTTTGCCAGGAGATAGAAAATGCTTTAGAAAGTATTAATAAGGGTGTAGTGGGGAGTAGGCAGGAAGGGGGATGGTTAATAGGCACAAAAAAAAAATAGCTAGAAAGAATGAATAATCAACCCAATGAGAGAACAAAAAGAAAAAGAAAAGGAAAAGAAAGAATAAGACCTAGTATTTGATAGCACAACAGGGTGACGATAGTCAGTAATAATTTAATTGTACATTTAAAAATAACTGAAAGAGTATAATTGAATCATTTGTAACACAAAGGATAAATGCGTGATGTGTGATACCCCATTTACCCTGATGTCATTATTATGCATTGCATGCCTATATCAAAATATCTCCTGTACCCCATAAATATATATACCTATGTGCCCATAAAAATTAAACATTAAAAAACAATGTTTAAGTATAAACTACTGAATACAAGTAAGGTATGACAACTAAGTTGTTATGATTGAATACCTAAAATATTTTTAATGACTGTATAAATGGAGGGTTTTACCTCTGGATTTTTTTTTTTTTTTTTTTTGAGACAGGGTCTCACTCGGTTGCCCAGGCTGGAGTGCAGTGGTGCAATCATGGCTCACTGCAGCCTCAACCTCCTATGGCTCAAATGATCCTCACACCTCAGCCTCCCGAGTAGTTGGGACTACGGGCACGTGCCACCATGCCTGGCTAATTTTTGTACTTTTTGTAGAGATGGGGCTTCACCATATTGTCCAGGCTGGCCTCAAGCAATCCACCCATCTGGGCCTCCCAAAGTGCCAGGATTACAGGTGTGACCCACCACGCCTGGCCAGGTTTTACTTTTACTTCCTTTATCTTTTCTTCTACTTTTCTTTTCTGTCTCTGTCTCTCTCTTTTCTTTTCTTTTCTTTTCTTTCTTTTGACAGGGTCTCACTCTGTCACCCAGGCTGGAGTGCAGTGGCATGACCCTAGCTCACCATAACCTTGACCTCCTGGGTTCAAGCCATCCTCCTGCCTCAGCCTGCCAAGTAGCTGGGACAACAGGTGTGTGCCATCACGTCCAGCTAATTTTTGTATTTTCAGTAGAGACAGGGTTTCGCCATGTTGCCCAGGCTGGTCTCGAATGCCTGAGCTCAAGCGATCCACCTGCCTCAGCCTCCCAAAGTGCTGGGATTACAGGAGTGAGCCACCGTGCCTGGCCAACTTTTATTATTTGCTACAACAATTAAAATGAACAAGGAGAGAAAAGCAAGAAATTTCCTAGCTCTCTTGGGAATTAATAAATGAGCTCTCAGAGAATTTTTGTGACTCGCCACTTCTCTGACGTTTCAGATGACAGGCTTTTGCACTTAGGGCAAAGACTTCTTGTCCAACAGTCCCCTTAAATAGGTAGGCCACCTAGATCATAGAAACCAGACAGCTAGTTGTAACATTTGGGTTGTGATGGGATGTTTTAACTACTACTTGGGTCTATCATGGTTCTAGAAATTTAAAGGCACAAAATCAGCAGCTATAACTTGTAATGAAGGAAACTATCAAAAACAATGAATTCTAAGAAAACGTTTCTTCTTTAAAATGTTTGGAGTACTTTCTGTAAATCAAGTTGGTTTTCAACTATAATGATTATTTTCCGGAGAGTGAAAAGGAAGTTTAAGAGGTGTTGTGCACCATGATTTAGATCAGAACGCCATCATAGGGAAGACTTTAATCAGCTTTGCTGCCTCCTTTCAGTCTAGGGTTTTATCTGTAGCTTCCACAAGGGGCAGGGATTTCCATTGTTGCTATTTGTAAATGATGCCCCAGGGAGGCATTATGGAAAAGATCACGTTCCTCTGGGGTTGTTCACTGTGACTGTGGCCAAAGGATTCTTTCCACTTACCCACCCGGATGGAATTTGGGGCAGCTTAGCAGCCTGGGCACTGAGACGATAAAGTATAAAACATTGAATTTCTATGTGTCAATGTGATTTGAGCTTTGCTCTTCATTTTTGATTATGCAATTAATCACATCCATGACTGTCTGAGCCTAGTGCTCCAAGGGCAGATACTTTCTTATGATTTTATTCCTAAATACTTTATCCAATTTAAAAGAAATCCACGGTGTGAATCTTTAGCCTAGAAAAATCAACATTCATTCTGCCAACAAATTGGTACATCGAATAACCAATTACTGAGTTTTGAATTTTATGATACTGCAGGAGTTCGACCAAGATGGTGACTGCAGTCGTTCCACACCGGTTAGTGAAGAAGAAGAAGATCCCAGTGGTGGTAGACAGGACTGGCAACCCAGGACAGAAGGTATCGGGCTTCAGTCCTTAATGTGTTTACAAAGATAACATGATCATATGGGCTTCCCTTCAATTTCAGAAGCGCTTATTGTAGAAGTTTGAACAAAACACACTGGGGCCTATCGGAGGGTGGAGGGAGTGGAGGAGGGAGAGGATCAGGAAAATAACTAATGGGTACTAGGCTAAATACCTGGGTGATGAAATAATGTGTACAACAAACCCCATGATATACATTTACCTATGGAACAAACCTGCACTTGTACCCCTGAGCTTAACTCCTGCAATAAAAGTTTAAAAAATAATAATAAATAAGTTTGAAAACACAGAAGAAGCCCGAAGAAGAAGAAAACCACTCATGATACTACCTTTTGGTCCACATCTGAATCAGTGGGTCTAGGCAACTTGACTGTCCAGAATAGACAATGCTCTCTGGCTCTTTCATTCCACCTCACTCCAGCTCAGCCAAGCCGTTCCCTGTCCCTTCCTTTTTGTCTGATAACATCCCTTCCCCCATTTTCTTCCTCTCAGAATCTTCCAGCAGCTTCAGTGATCGGTTCCCTTCCAGAGCCACACATGTCTCCATCAGCTGTTGTCCCTGAGGGGAAGGTGGGGGAATGAACAAGGCATGAAAATCCCCAAGTCTCGGTCTTTTATTTACAAGGCCATAAGTCTGGAATCTTCCAGAACACCACCCATTTCAAACATGTTATCCTGTCAGACCGTAAGTGCCCTTGCACTTAACAGACCACAAAGTATTTGCAGATCCTCTCCTCAGAACATAGTTGCCACGGCTATCCCATTTGTCTGTCATCTATCCATAACCTTCTTAAAGTAAATGTTTATTTGAACTGCTGCAATTTCTCCTGGGCAATTTTCTGGCTTCTATTTCTAACACTCCAGGGAAGCCGCCCTCTTTGATGCTCGTTTTTCTCATCCCTTTGCACCTCCCAGAAGGCTGCAGCTCTCCCGAGTAGCGTCTCCCGGGAGGTGGTGCGATGGTGCCCTCTCCTGGGCAGCCGCCTGCCTTGCTCACGCCCACTAGAATCTTCCCTCCCTAGGCCAAGGGCCGAGAGTAACTTAGTAACCGTTAAAATTGTGAACACCATTAAGCCTGAAAGAGCTAACGAAAGAAAATAAATCCCGAAACCCTTCAGAACGGTCCTTGCAGTCCTCCTTCGACTTTCATAGACTTCAAAGCCAAGCTCTTAGAAGCCTAGTGGTGTCCCAAGCGCCTTCCAGGAGGTTAAATATTTCATTTATTCTGCTCAATTTGGAGATAACTCACCATTTGGGATGTTAGTCATTCTTTTAAACTTGATTTGCAATATTTTTAGTTTTCATATGGGAGCCATAATACTTATGAGGCATCTCCACTAAGTTATTTCAGTTTTAAGCTTTTAACAACTTGAGTTACAAATTTGGAAGAAGCAATTCTCTTCCTGACAAAATTTCATGTCACAGTTGGTAGAGACTTCAGTTGAGCTAGCTACTCTTTCTAGTCACAGATTCTGAAATAAAAGTGTTTTGGATATTATTGTGCATTATATTCATTTTAAATATTGGTTTAAATCTCTTTAAATGGGCTGGGTGCTGTGGCTTGGGCCTGTAATCCCAGCACTTTGGGAGGCCAAGGTGGGCGGATCACCTGAGGTCAGGAGTTCAAGACCAGCCTGGACAACATGGTGAAACCCCATCTCTACTAAAAACACAAAATTAACCGGACATGGTGGCGCGCACCCATAATCCCAGCTACTTGGGAGGCTGAGGCAGAAGAATCGATTGAACCTGGGAGGCGGAGGTGGCAGTGAGCCGAGATCGTGCCGTTGCACTCCAGCCTGGGTGACAGAGTGAGACTCAGTCTCAAAACAAACAAACAAACACAAACAAACACTATTTTCTGAGAACATAACAGGCACAAATCTTGTAGACTAGAAATTGAGCCTATAAATTTACTCTTTTCATGAATGAACAAGAGAACCTATTCCCTAAAACTAATGGGCTTAAAAATATTTTAATACAGTATAAATTCACCAGGATTTGTAGCTGCAGGTATACAAGAACCTACGCTTGGTTGGGTTAAAAAGGAAGGGAAATTTGAAAGCTATTAGGAAGTTCATATACCATTGAGAAACCAGAGGAGAGGAACTTTCTTGGTCCATTCACGCTGCCAAAACAAAATACCATAGACTCGGGGGCTTCAACAGCAGACATTTATTTTCTCACAGTTCTTAAGAATGGGAAGTCCAAGATCAAGATTCTAGCAGGGATGGGTTTCTGGTGAGGGCTCTCTTCCTGGTTGCAGACGGTGGTCTGTCCCCAAGTGGTCTTTCCTCTGTGCACACACAGGCAGAGCACAAGTGAGTGAGCTCTCTTCTTAGAAGGACACAAATCCAACTGGATCAGGGCCCCACCCTTGACACCTCATGTAACCTTCATTTCTTCCTTACAGGCCCCGTCTCCAAATAAGCCACACTTAGGGGTTAGGACTCCAACGTATGAATTTGTGTTGGGGGATACAAACATTCAAAACATCCAGTCCATAACAGAAAGGCTCTAGATTGGATTGTCAGGAAGAATTCCCATAAATGCATTTCAAAACTGGCTGCTTCTGACCCCCAAATCATGCCACCTCTGCCATAACCAAAGGAGCCGCTCTCACTATCAATGTAAGAATCTCCTCCCTCTGCTGGTACCCCCATCAGCACACAGGATGCCTGCAGCTTATCTTTTTTCATGTAACTCACATACTTCAGTCTCTCAAGTAAGCTTTCTGAATCTAGCAGCGCAGAAGGCTGGAAATACAGTTGTTGTTTTTTTTTTTTTAAGTCTGTGTTGAGCTTCACAATTTAGGAAATCATCAAAACGTGAAGATGGCATCAAAATATTTTGAATCTCCATGCTCACAATCCAGACAGATATGCACATTCATTTAAATAGAACAAGGACCCCATTGATATATGCACCTATTAAGTACCCACAAAAATGTAACAAATGAAATAAGGAGAACAAACAGGAAAGTGAGGCTTTTCTGGAGAAAATAATTTTTCTTTATTGAAATCAGCTAGGCTGGGCCAGATTCTAAGTTTTTATTTTAATAATGGCTTTGACACTAACAACAACAAATTAATGATCATTTTCTGACTGGTTATGAATGTCATTTTCACCTCTTCTATAAAGAAAATATATTCGTGGCTATGTTGAAATGTTGCCTTTTAATTTCTCTCTAAGGTAATATTTTCTGATAGGGTTAATTGACCCTCATTATGTGAAAAATGCGCTTAGATAAGAGCAAGTGTTTTGTTTTTACCTGTGACAATGCATCCTCTTCCCTGGCCTACTGGGTAGCTCGAGAGGCCTTATCCATAGCAACCTCAGCAACTCACAGTATTCAAGAGGCAGAACAAAGAGAACATTTGTATGTTTCTAGAGGACTTCAGAATCAGTGCATTCTATAATCTTTTTTCCAATTTAGGACCAACAATTAGGACAGTGGCCCTTAGCTCTTAACAATATCTTGAAAGGCAGGTAGGTCTTCTCTTACATGTCTCTTACATGTGCTCTTACATATTATATCTTTGTTTCTTGGTTTGAAAAAGAAGTCAGCTGATGAACAGATTTTAAGCACATTAAATTTGTTTGAAAGCATTCTGGATCTATTAATTCTTGACAACTGCAAAAGTACAGTTGTTCTTAAATATGGTTCATGTGAATACAGTCAGTTTTCTAATTTTCACAGCAAAGAACTAAATACATTTAGCTTTTGTGCCAGAACATTCTTTTCACTGACAGTTTAGTTATTAGGAATGTATGCTGTATGTTTTTCTCACTCTAACATGTCAGCTAGGTGTTTGCACTCAAGGATGACTACCAAAATGTTGTGAAAGACATCCGTCTTCCTTTCAAGTAGGAGAACGACTTTGAGCATGTCATGCAAACTCATTGCTATCAGTTTCTTTGTCTCTAAAATGAAAGGCTTGGATTAGGTGACCTCTAAGTTCCTTCCAGCTCAATAATTCCAAGCCTCTCATTTTGTGCTACATAGTGTGGTGATAGGCTCTTTGAAAACTGAAAAAACAATGGACTATTCCAAGGAAACTTCATTTTTAGACAAGCGTTTCATGCAATTGTATAGTATTAGAAAACATGCAATCAAGTTGTCTTATTTGAGAAACGTTAAGAAAACCAAAGCTAGCTACATTTTTATGGTAGCACAACACATAATATTGGATGAAAATGATAGTAAACACTATTATCATTTGCCTGATGGTAAACAAAACTTTTCCTTTTGGAATTTTTTACTGTTTTTTTTTTTTTTTAATTTTTTAAAAATTTTTTTTATTTATTTTATTTTATTTTTTTTGAGACGGAGTCTCGCTCTGCCGCCCAGGCTGGAGTGCAGTGGCCGGATCTCAGCTCACTGCAAGCTCCGCCTCCCGGGTTCACGCCATTCTCCTGCCTCAGCCTCCCGAGTAGCTGGGACCACAGGCGCCCGCCAGCTCTCCCGGCTAGTTTTTTGTATTTTTTAGTAGAGACGGGGTTTCACTGTGTTAGCCAGGATGGTCTCGATCTCCTGACCTTGTGATCCACCCGTCTCGGCCTCCCAAAGTGCTGGGATTACAGGCTTGAGCCACCGCGCCTGGCCGCTGTTTTTTTTTTTAATGTACTTGTTTCGTTAAATGGCACAGGTATAAAAATTGAACACCAAAAATGCTTTCACTATGGTAGCTCCTATGTATTACAAACAAATATATCCAAAGTCTTTTAAAATAATAAAAATCTACTAATTTAGATAATGGTGACAGCTATTAAGCAACTTTCCCAAGGTCACCCAGGAAGTGGCAGAGAGGGGATGTCTGATTCACACTCTAAGCTTATCCTCCCCATGATACTCCTTCCCCAGCCTTCAATTAGTGGAGCTCATACAGCCATTGCTCCTCCAGGCACATGCAGATTGAGTGAATAAATGGCTCTGACAGATAAATGGATAGAAATGAATACCGGGACAAGCACTGCGTCTTCCCGGAAGGACACTTCTCTCTGCTCCCACATCACCACTTGCTTCCATCACAGTGCTTATCTCACTGCATTCTGTATTTTCTTATCAGCTCTGCTAGGGCCTCAGCTGCATCTTGTTTATTTCCCTGTTTTCAGCACAAAGTGCTGGTCTTGGCATATGCTTAATAAAAGTTTGTTAAATGAAAAAAAGGAATGAATGAACACACCTTAAAGAACAGGCAATGTTAGAGTCGTTTACACTAGTTTTTTACATAAATTTGCTTGACATCTTATATTGTGAGCAAGCGCATATTCTATAAGTTGGAACTTTCTGTCTTAAGGGTTATTCTGGGAATTATTTCATGGAACGACCAAAATTACAAATACAAGCAAACATCTTTGGTGTTACATAAATTATCGCATTGAATCCTCACAATAGTGCTGGGAGATAGGTGCCATTACACTTTATAGAAGGTGGTCCTGTTTTCTTCATCCTGGGGACAACATAGCTTGTTATAAAACTTTATTTCACATCTGTAAAATATTATTATATGGTTTTTTGCTCTTTAAGCAAGCATTTATTTAGGATCTATCATATTCTGAACAGGAAAGATACAAAGATGGCTAAACCTCAGCCCCTGGTTAATGTCCATTTTGTAATTATTAAGAAGAGATTAGCCAAGCAAATAAAGTATGTCTCCCGCTTTCCACTAGAATTCATTACTTTCTTCCTTCTACTACTGTGATATGTTTCTATAGGTATTGAGATCACTGTGACTTTTCCAAGAGATGTCAGTCCTCCCCAAGAAATGAGCCAAGAAGACTTAAAAGAAAGGAAGTAAGGAATATTCTTTGAATTATCATTTTGAAATGAAGTATGAAGCAATGATACTCATGTGGCAACCTACATTATTAGTAATTCAATTCATAATAATGCTTAAAAGTAGAGGTCACAATAAAGAGTATGTGGCAGAGGCCAGATCATAAACACTTTGGCTATGTGGGCCATATGGTCTCTGTTGCAATGATTCAAATCTGCAACTGTCATTTGAATGCAGCAACAGATAATTTGTAAACAAAGGAGTGTGGCTGTGATCCAATTAAAGCTACAGAAAAAGGATGAAGGCTGGATTTGGCCCCTGGGCTGTAGTTTGCTGACCCTACTGCAGGGCAGAGCTACTTAGAATGTGGTTCTGCGGTCCTGTTACCAGTCCATGATAAGGTCAGGACACGCTGTGAGGGTGACCATTAAAAAAGTTACAAAGCAATTTGGCAAATAACTTACGTTCATTGATTGGGTAGTAAAAAAAATTGAGGCTTATTTTTTGCATGTCTTTTATTTTTCTTCCCTTTTTATGGCAATTCACTTATATTTTACAAAAGTATCAGTTCACAATGATTGGAAAATTTAAATGCCAGTTCTTCGTCAAAGATAGTTTGAGAAGCACTGGGCTAGTCAGTGCCTGTGGAGATAAAAAGGTGCATCCCCCACTCGTGCCCTTGGTCTCTGATTTCTCTGTGCAAGGAAATGGTGGTTGGGAAAATGAGAGTGAGCTGAAACCTAATCCATCTAGGTGAAGGTACGGAGGGCTGAGGAGGCCGGGAGGAGTCGATGGGTGGAGATGTCTTACCCTCTCAGGATTCAGCCTTGCCTTTCAGCAGCACCATTTGGAAATAGTTCTTCAAACTTTCTAGTGATGTCAGGCTGGACTGAGAACTGGAGATTCAGAAGATGTGGCAACCGAGTTTTAAATAAAACATTTCCCTCCCCCTTTAGTCAGATAACCTCATCGCATCAAGAATGGGCACAAGCACATGCAGTTTCTCATCCAAATGAAATTGAGATGATGGAGCTCAGGACAAACACGCTGACCATGCGGCCCTTACTTTTGCAAAAAGAGGAAAGTTCCAGGGAGCTCTGCGATGTGAACTTGGGCTTTTTGCTGCCGAGATCTTGTTTAGAACCAAACATTTCCAAGTCTGTAACCAGAGAAGATGCTCCTCATTTTCTGAAGGAGCAGCAAAGAAAATCTGAAGGTAAGTTGAACATTGAATTCCACAGTGAGTCCTTTCGGTCAACAAATATTTATGTATTGTGCCAGGCACTGTTCTAAATGCTGGAGATATAGCAGTAAACGTATCAGACAAGAACCCCAGCCCTTGTGTAATTTACATTCCTGGGGGCCATGGGGGTGCCAGGCAGACAATAAACTAGTAAACAAGTAAAATGAAGGATGGCATAATGTTCCAGCAGAAAGAACACTATATGTGCAAATGTTTACATATTTGTTCAAGGAATAGAAGACAAATATTTTGAGAATATCTTATTGTTTAGATTATTTCATTGCTTATTTCTTTAAACATTTCAGACGTTATTTTATAAACTATATTTGATAATTTCAGTTAACAATATGCTACTGATTTGCACTATGGTTGACTTTTTTTCTTGAGTGTTTGAAAATCTTCATTGTGAGCTCATATTTGGTTGATGTTTATCTATGAGAATCTTGGGGACCCATGCTGTGGATGCCTTTGGCCAGAAGTATTGAGTTTACTTCTACCAGGTCCCAGGGTCGTTATGGACTTGAGTCTACTTTAGCCTTATTCCTGGATCCCCAAGTTAATGTGCAAGTCTAAGAGCCAACTTCCACCTATATTGAGTCCAAGATTCATTTGTTAGATAGCAGCACTGATGCCAGCATTTCCCCCTGTGGCAACATTGTCTTTGGTATTTGCTTACCGCCGTCCTCAACCAACCAGCCAAAACCACCAGGAACAACCTTATAATCCAACAAGTTATATTCATTGATTTGTCACAATGAGGGAGACTGCATGCCAGCGGAGCTGCGAGGCATCTTACCAAATAAAAAAAAAAAGAAAGAATAATTATCATGGGATTTTAAGAGAAGGATACATTTTAAGTGAAATTTAAATGAAGCAGTGCTTAAATGTATGTATTTATTTATTTATGAGATGGAGTCTCGCTCTGTCGCCAGGCTGGAGCACAGTGGCGTGATCTCAGCTCACTGCAACATCTGCCTCCCAGGTTCAAGCGATTCTCCTGCCTCAGCCTCCCAAGTAGCTGGGACTACAGGCATGCACCACCACGCCCAGCTAAGCTTTGTATTTTTAGTAGAGACGGGGTTTCACCATGTTGGCCAGGATGGTCTCCATCTCTTGACCTCGTGATACTCCTGCCTTGGCCTCCCACAGTGCTGGGATTAAAGGTGTAAGCCACCGTGCCTCGCCTAAAAATGGTTTTTGATTTCATTATGCTAAAATGTGTGTAACATAAAATTGACCATTTTAATCATTTTCAAGTGTACAGTTCAGTGGCATTAAGTACATTCACATTGTTGTGTAACCATCACAACTATTCATCCCCAGAACATTTTCTTCTTGCAAAACTGAAACTCGGTGCCCATTAAACAATAGCTCTCTATTTCCCACTCTCCCAAAGCTTCTGGCAACCACTATTCTATTTTCTGTCTCAATATGAATTTGACCATTCTAGGTCTTTTATATAAATGGAATTATGCAATATTTGTCCTGCGTCTGGCTTGTTTCATTTGGCATGATGGTGAAGCAGTGTTTTGATGGGCTGTATGTAAAAGAGTTCATATGAAATCTGGACTGTGAAGTGGACCTAGACTCTTGCTCCTTGAAGTTTACAAAGTTAGTTCCCAAATCTCGATAGCGTTTTTTGTTTGTTTGTTTTGTTGTTTTTAGACAGGGTCTGGCTGTGTTGCCCAGGCTAGAATGCAGTGGCATGATCTTGGTTCACTGCAACCTCTGTATCCTGGGCTCAAGCCATCCTCCCACTTCAGCCTCTTGGGTAGCTGGGACTACAGGTGCATGCCACCACGCCTGGCTATTTTTTTGGTACAGATGGGGTTTCACCATGTTGCCCAGGCTGTTACTGAACTCCTGGGCTAAAGTGATCCTCCCACCTTGGCCTCCCAAAGTGCTGGGATTACAGGCGTGAGCAACCGTGTTCAGCCTCAACAGCCTCTTTCAACCTCATATCCTGCCACTCTTCCTCAGCAGTATGATAAACTTTAGCACACTAAATGCCCTCTATTCCCTAAACACGCATGTGAATATTTGCACCTACTGTTCTTTCTGCTGAGGCATTATGCCATCCTTCAGGTTTTGTCTTAGAAACCACTTCCTCTGGAAAGTCTTCCTGAACATCCCAAAACTGGATGAGTTGCCATTTCTTTGTTCCCCTATAGGCTCCTGATCTTACTTACAACATAGCACTAATCAAGCATAATTGTCACTATTTGTTTATGTGCTCATTTTCACCGGATTACAAAAGTAAGAATCATTCAACCTCCACACACCTGGCATCATACCTGGCGCATAGCCATTACAAATGCACTTTTAATTAATAATAATAATAATAATCAGGTCCAGGGCAGCACTTTGGGAGGCCAAGGCGGGCAGATCACTTGAAACCTCAAAAAAAAAAAAAAAAAAAAAAAGAAAAGAAAAGAAAAAGAAATAAGAAGTACTGGCTGTGCACAGGCACACGCCTGTAACCCCAGCACTTTGGGAGTCCGAGGGAGGAGCACTAGCTTGAGGCCAGGAGTTTGAGGGCAGCCTGGGCAACATAGGCAAACTCCACCTCTAAAAACAGTACATATGGCCGGGCGCAGTGGCTCAAGCCTGTAATCCCAGCACTTTGGGAGGCCGAGACGGGCGGATCACGAGGTCAAGAGAGCGAGACCATCCTGACTAACACGGTGAAACCCTGTCTCTACTAAAAAATACAAAAGCGAGGTGGCGGGCGCCTGTAGTCCCAGCTACTCGGGAGGCTGAGGCAGGAGAATGGCGTGAACCCGGGAGGCGGAGCTTGCAGTGAGCTGAGAT